TATTAACAGACCATATCATGTGTCACATAGACACCCTAGGGAGTGCAGAGTCTATTGCAAGACAGAAACGTCCGTAACGTGTGTATGATCCACGGACATTGACCACAGCTTCAACCCTACGCCTCAATATTAATTACAAGTCGTTGAATGCTTCTCTGAGGCAAACGGATGCACGGGAATCTCACACAGGAGCAAAATGCAACCACGTGTCTGGAACTTGAATATCACTATTTATAGGGTAGGGGAACTGCAGCAACACGTAAAGCACGCTTTCCTTGTGGTATCTGGACAAATTTGGGTTCATGAAACTATGGAAGCGTAATTCAGTCATACATCATCTTAATTCGTATTTCTGATTCCCACACGTGAAATCAAGAGACTATGCATATGGTGGCGCTTAACTTTTGTGCATGTGTATATAATTTGATTTAAAACTGGTGAAAATAAATCGCTCAAAACACAACTGCTGATGGGTATCTTAGACGAGTTAAATAACCCTGCTGCAGATTATTCTGGATAAATGGACATAATCAAATGTAACAACAATAATTTCCATTTTCAGTTACACGAGAAACAAACTAGGTATACTTTCCTTTGCCCCTCATGAGATAAAGCACCAAACAGCAACTAGACAGTCAATACACCAGTATACAGCTTTGTGAGCTGTAGGTTAAATGGTTGAAGTAATACATGTCCCATACTATCCAATAGTACATATGACTGTTCAGTGGGAACGTGGGTCTTCCTCAGAAATATCTCCCGCTCCGTTCTGTAAGTTGAAACTTAATCCTACAGTTCTATAACCATAAGCCACACCAGGACAACGTGGCTCAGCTTGACTGACACTGCCAATCAATCGTGTAGGCGGGGCTTTTACTCACAGCAAATTCCGATGTCATAATCCGACGCATTTTGGATAGAACAACCAGTGACCATGTAGGGAAAGAAGGAACGTTTCTCTTTTACAGTGTATTGAATATTGTCGATGCTTCCAGATACTCTTATGTTTGTGTTTCTCTGATACAAGGTGAGTTTTGTTTTTTTCTTTGTTGTTTAACGCCGTACTCAGCAATATTCGAGCTACCTGCATATGACGGCGGTCTGTAAAATAATTGAGTCTGGACCAGACAATCCAGTGATTGACATCATGAGCATCGATCCTCGCAATTGAGATCGATGACTTGCTTCAACCAAGTCAGCGAGCCTTACTTCCCGATCTCGTTAGTCGCCACTTACGACAAGCATAGGCGCGTTTTACGGCAAGCATTGGTTGCTGTTGCTCTAACCCGGATCTTCACGGGAACTAATAGAACAACAAATGTGTATTTTACATTGTAAGCAATTGAACACTGGTGTGTGGTGGCTGATCGTATACAACTCTACAATATGTCTTCTTGGGATTTTCATGTTTACAGTGAAATTATTGTATTATTAAAATTATTATTGAGACCCAGATGTACAAAGTGGGAAATAAAATGGCAAGGAACATCATTGATACAATGTAAATAATGTAGCATGATGGCTCTATTTGAAATGTATTGTATACAACAAACACGAACATGTTCTAATTTCTTTCTGAACAATTTAGGCAGGTTTGCATCCTATAACCCGAAGCATATGTGATTATGCACTGGGTGTACCATCCCTTATTCCATACAGAAAGTGGCACCCAGTTGGGACTTCGAATAAAATGAGTCCCCAGTGCCTGTTTAGGAACAACACCAAGTCACAGCAATAAACATTTACATGTATTAAGTGATAACGTCCTACAAATAATACACAAGGCCATCAACATGTATAATTATATTCCTAAAAGGGTAGTTCATGCTGACACGAAATATCACAAGAACTAGTCATGTAGACAATATATGTTATGCATATTAATGAGTTTGGGACAAGCTGTCACATGTTAAACATATATATATATATAACACATATATAAAGTTATATTGTCGTACAAATATAAAAACAATGTCAAATGTTGTATTACAGCTTTCTGACAGAACAGCAATTGATATCATCATATTTGCAAAGGGTAGTTCATACGTAACGCGTAACGGACGCGCTGACATTATATAAATTAGTTCATGAAGTTCTTAATGCATATTAAAGAGTTTGGGATAAAGCGACGCATATTAGACTCATTCACGTGTAAGGACAATTTCATAGAGCAGAGCCACATCTGCTAAAGTTTTGGTTCCATACGCAGTTGTCTGGGCTGGTGCCACCACCATTGCACACACTATAGTTTGTCCAGATGATTTTGCTGAAAGCCATGCATAAGGCTATTGCTGAACTCTAATCTTGATGCTTGAATGCTAAGCATTTTACAGAGTCTTTGTCTACATATGTACTGATTTGTCTCATTCCTTATTTGATGGTATGTATTTTTTGCATTTTCTCAAACTGAATGTTGAATCAATGATGACGCCTAGATTTCCTGTGTGACTGATTGGTTGAGCAACCCTCGCCTCTGACTGCAGCGTCTTGAAACGAGTAGAGTGACCGTTTGCGTCAAATGCTGCTCAAAGATCCGATAGTCAACAATTGCCGCTCCCTTGGAATCAACAGTAAGAAGTAGGTCATTTTGCACACGGGCATAACTATTTCACCCACGTACACCCACGCGATACAAGCATATGCGTTTCAAGTCCAGCCGCCACTGCTGCTACCCGTTCAATCGACTTGAAAGGGAAGGGTAGATTTGAGACTGGGCGATAGTTCTTAATCAATCATCGATCCAGCGATGACGATTTCATATTGATTCTCATAATTACTTTCACTACCTTATGTTGTTATTGGTGATATTTTATGAATAATCATATTTATTAAAACGTTAAAAGTAAATCTTAAGTGACGTCGCACTGTTCTGGCAGGTTCACCAAAATGTTGGACAACCCAAACTGTTTTAATCCATGAAGGTAGCGTCAATCCCTCAGAATGATCACGACCTTCTAAATATCGAAAAAGCAACCTACGCGATGCCATAAATGCAACCAATCAAATGACAGTAACGTTTCACATTTATTCTATGTTTAGAAATACCTGTAAAATGTTACTTAAAATTGAAGTTTATAATGACATCTCGTCCAAACGGAATAGCTGAAATATCCGTCTGTCCGGCTGAATAAGCAGCAGAAGTCTCGGGGTATGGAGTTTTCACTTTAATTGTCCTCTTTGCAATCATTTTGTCCCTGTTTGTGCGTTTCGAGTCAATGATGTAAAAACCAACAGATATGTGGTCGTTGGATGTCCGTTTTCAACATCAAACGTCATAACTGCTGTGCTATCAAATCAAGACCAAACATACTCAACAATATACATGTACTTGGATCGGTATATAATGTCTCTCGCAAGGCATTACAATACATATGTATTTCAGAATTACAATTAACCAGCTGTTCCAAAAATGCGGATTGGTTATTTTTGTCCACATATACTTATTTTGAATTGAGTCATTTAAAATGACAATGTATCTTTCCTTCTAAACAATATTATAAATTTTAAATTGGCGTTTTTAATAACATCGTATTCAATTTTAATCTCATTGATAGATGAGGAGCGATACGTTAGGCAAATTACAATACCACTGGGAGAGTATGCTGTCACTGAATTGTCACTTCATATTTCATCTGCCTGATACTGGTACAATGATTAAATGAGAACTAATATTATTAAAAAGATCCTAGACAGATGAAATTTTTGAAATATTTATCCCTTGTTATGGCAAAATATATATTAATGTAAGGACACTCATTTGATAGCCTATCACTAAGACAGATATCTTTGATTCCACAAGTGTCCTATAATGCCCTTATGTAAATGAACGAGAGAAGTTATGTATGCAATATCCAAATGTTTCAAGGACTGGGGTATTGTCATCTTCGGAAAGAATAGTGCCGACAGTATCATGTACCTTTTCGAACCCGGTCCCCCATAGAATGTGACATTGGCGATGTTATGTTTGCAGACATCTTTCCTGATCATGATATTCTGTTCACATTATAATTACTGACATAAATATTTCCACTCTCCACCATGTGCATCCATTAATCATACGTATACTTAGCGTTTATTTATCATAGTACATAGATATAATTTCAAGTCTGATGGCAGATGAAGGTCCTTCAGTTCCTCCGGCACAATATCCTCCTCATCTCTACACTTCTCGCTGTTGTCCTGGGAATTGTTGCTGGGATGGTGTGCCGGACGCTCAAGCCGTCCTCTGACACTATTCAGCTGGTGCAGTTTCCTGGAGATCTTTTCCTTCGTATGCTGAAGATGTTGATGCTACCTCTTACAGTAGCCAGTATCATTACAGGTAACGCTAAAACCTTCTTGTTACACATATTTATGGATTGAAGTTGCATCGTAAATCAGACACCACTTGTCATTGTCCACGTATTCCTGTGTTATTTACAAATTAATGACATCAAAACTGTCACCTTTTCCATTTCCAATTACCTTACAAACTGTTAATTCTCGTTACGTCTTTATATCTTTTCAGTGTAATTATCAGTAGGAGTTTGGTTTAACGCCGCTTTTAACAGTATTCAAGTCATATCACGGGTTGTCAGCTTAATGTGGGAGGAAAGCCCGAGGTGATGCAGGTCTCATACGTTTACCACTTCGGTGAAATCCACGAGCACGTGTATGGTGCTGACAAACCTAGAAACATAATCGGGGCGAACCGGGATTTGAACCCACAATCATAGGTTTCTGGCGTGCCCAAAGGGACGCAACCTTGCACAGCGAATCGTGGCGCCGTAGACGACTGGGCCACCCGTAACCCCAGCAGATACCGATACAGCTATATGAACCGTTAAGGTTGTTTTCCTTTATGTTTTATATGTATAGTATTCTCCTCGCTACATGCTATATGTACAGCACTGGAGTACACGACGACACGTTTGAAAAGTTTATCATTCACCTTGTTCTGAAAAAGCACAGTTTCACGTGGATATATATAACCTAATGTTCAGTGACGTATGTCACAGTTATGAAGTCTCTAAAGATTACTACATGATTCGATTTGCACTGGGAAGAACCGAACAATATAAATGCTTTTCGAAGGTCTGGGGAACATGAAAGGATCATGTGCCGGAAGGATAGGTGTACTGTCTATGGTTTATTATGCAAGTACCTCTGTTGCTGCAACCCTGGTTGGCTTGACATTAGTCCTGGCCATCAAACCTGGAGCTTACTCAGACTCGTCGACAACCGATGTATTACACAGTAACGCTATGGCATCAACAATGGACATCTTCATGGACTTATTGAGGTAACATTTTGTTTATTTAATCTCCGCATTTGGGATATGATGACGTGCATCAGCTAAGTCAGCGAGCATCTTACGACAAGCATTGGTTGCTGAAGACCAATTCGAAACAGGAACGTCACAAGGCGTTAAGGTAGAGCAGCTCCAAAAGAAGATGCATTTATTTAATGAATCTAAGCAGTGGAAATCTATGTATTCATACGTGTTAATACTTATTAAATACATTAAATTATTAAATGTTAACATAAGAAATTATGAAAATCATTATTGGCGGATGAATGACATGAGTGCAATTGCTAAATCCCCTGTCATCAAAAGCATTAACAACTTGTCAGTTATATACAAATTGGAGGCAACTGATTCAAATTGAATTTCGTAATGTTTATTTGAAAGATAGTGGAGTCCGGGCCAGACAATCCAGTGATTGACATCACGAGCATCGAGCCACGCAATCGGGATACGATGGCATGTATCAACCAAGTTAGCGAGGCTGACCACCCGATCCCGTTAGTCGCTTCAAGCATTGTCGCCTTTTACGGCAAGCATGGGTTGCTGAAGACCTATTCCTCCACCGGATTTTCTCGGGTTGTATTTCGTTTGTTTGTTTGTTTTTTACCGCCGCACTCAGCAATAATCCAGCTATATGGCGGCGGTATGTAAATAATCGAGTCGGTACAAGACAATCCAGTGATTGAGGTCATGAGCATCGATCCACGCAAGTGGGATACGAGGTTGTATTTCGTCATGAATCTAGTACAGTTAATTTGTTTAATCGCGTGATAATAACATCTACCATGGCCATGTTTCCTACAGCTACATATTGCGATATAGCGTTTGAATCTGTCTCACGTGAAAAGAAACTTACTTATTGGATGAACATAATTCCCTATGTATTAGTCGTATACATCTTAACCATGTTATGTAATGAAATGATATTTCATGACATGAGATTTTGGCTGGATAATGAAGGACTCCCACCCATATCCGGCAATGTTGTAAAATTACATTCATTCAGGAAATGTAAACTTGTCTCTTTTCATCTTGTTCTTCAGAAACATAGTTCCTGACAACATAGTTGCTGCTACAATCCAACACTCACGCACTGAGATGGTTGTTCATGGAATAAAGTTACAGGACGATGGCAACTCTAGTTCTGGTTACCTGCAGGATACTGGTGGTAATTCCAGGAAGGTCAACCAATCTGTTACGGCAAAGAAAACAGTGATGGTTGATGGGGCAAATATCATAGGTATTCTTGGAAGTTGTTGCCACCGTTTCGAAATAGTTCCGTTGGCCCTTTTGAAATGTGTTTGTGAAATGTTCCCGCTTCTGAATTTCTATACAGCAAACTCACTTAGTGTATTGGTACTACAAGGCTGAGTTCCTAGTAGACATAACCAAACGAGCATGCACATTTTGACCGGACAAACTTGATAATATTAGCCAGATGTTTATGAATGAAGTAAAAGTAATGAGTATTCACCAGTTTAAGAATGCATGAATCGTATCAATACGTTTAACGTTTCCACTTGAGTCGATCACAAATGATAAAAACACCGAATATTATCAAAACAGAACAGAGTTGTATGTCAACCAATACTAGTATGTACATAGTATGTTGGGTTTGCAGAGTAGCATATTTTATTTGATTATTTCACATTTGTTCACATTATTCTACTGAAACAAGTTTCCTACTGTATGTGATTGTAATAAGAAGATAATTTTGCTTACAGAAAATTGTTTTCAGGAATATGCAGGTATGTAAATATTCATAATGTCGTTAGTTTAGAAATAAATAAATAATGGTTTTCATCACCTGGGTCATAACAATTACATGATGTACAGACACGGTAGGTATTTTACTATATCTTCTTTCCTCAATTGGTAGTCGATGACACGAAGTTCTAACTTTTAACAGGTTCAAGAAATGTTGCCTGACCGGTTTTAATAGATGACATTCAAATTTACACGAGGCTGCTTGATAATAATCTTGCTTTCTTCTTTGAGAGGCATTAAGAAGTTGGAGTACTCAGTAAGGATACGATATATGAATGAACAACTTCTATTTGACAATCAGAAGCAGTGTAGGTTCTCACACCGTTATCAAGCAAGTGGTGGTTGATTGGTTTGTTGTTTAACGCCGCACTCAGCAGTATTCCAGCTATATGACGGCGGTCTGTAAATAATCGAGTCTGGACCAGACAATCCAGTGATTGACATCATGAGCATCGATCAGAGTATGGTTGACAAGCATATATACAGGTGCGAGGCTAGACCTCATATGAGGTATGGTACCAAACCATCTCAAACAAGTTTTCTTACTGTAAAACCACTACCCCGAACAGCTAGTTCAACAGACAATAACGAGCATCGCCAAGAAAACTCAGAAATCTCCCTGTCAACAATCTGCACCCTTAGTGACCTCCCCTACTTTGGAACAGTTAGCTACAAAATCCAGAGACTCTTCAAGCAACAGGCCAAAACTGATGTAGTTTTCAAGAGAAGTAACAGCATTCAGAACACCATTAAAGCCACAGGTAATCCACCAGTCAGCCACAAGCTAGAACCATCAGGAGCAGAGTACTCCATTCCGTGTAACTGTGGACAACCTTAATTACATTGGTGAAACGTCAAGGTCCCTCAAAACCCGAAGTAAAGAACTTCAAATCTCAGTCTCCAAAGTTTACTCTAAGTCAGCTCTATCGGATCATATCCGTGCCAACCCCAGCCACAGCATCCAGTACGACAAAATCAAAGTCCTTATATTACAATCAACCTCAAAGACTTCAAAATCAGAAAACTCCAGGAAGTCATCAACATCAAAAGACTCCAACCATCAGTCAACCGTGATCAAGTCTATTACATCCCCCCTGCGTACCATCAAATCATCAAAGACGCCAATCAGTCATAATCCCTTTGTTTGTTCTGCTGGCTTCACCTTACATCACCCCTTTTGTGTACGTGACACGCTTCTCCACTCCAGTACTACATCCCATTCTACTCAACTGTCAAAACACTGCCTCACACCTGTATATATGCTTGTCTATTATTTACTAACATTGGTCATAATTAACCAGTTAAGGTAAACCGTATCGTAATGGTATACATGGTTCAGATCGATTATTTACAGACCGAGGGCGACGTGAAACAACAAACAAACATATTAATCTCAGAAATGTTACCATTCGGTAAGCGGCCTTGTACAGTTGGAAATGACACCAGAAGACAAAAAATACATGTTGTCTAGTTTTAGGCCCCACTGCCAAAGATACAAGTTTCTTAGACACCTGGCATCCAGATTAACTGGCCGGTACTGGATAGACGGCTCTTTTTTAAGCTAAACATTTGTTCTGGTTTCAAGTCCTACTGCACTCACTGTAAGGTACATGTATGCCTTCCGATTAGATGCGGGTCATGTATAGACCTATTACTGTCATCTATGGGATACAACTAAAGTATGAATATGTATATCAGTAATTCACAATATTGCTGAAATTTAATCTGTTAGTGTTAAATGGTTTGGGAGGAAAGAGCATTCGATATAAAAAGTTGGGGAACGTATTTGCGTGTTTTTTCGGATTAAGGCAACAAGCAGGAACAATCACCTGTCACGTGTGTCTCTGTATATTGTGATACTTGTATTGTGTGATGCTATATGATCCCATAACTTTCTCCTGACAGGTGTACTTATCTACTGCATTGTTTTCGGTGTGACTCTTAGCCAGCTAGGTCGTCGTGGAGCAGTGGTGACACAATTCTTTACCGTCGTCAACATCGTCACCTTCAAAATGATCAGACTTGTCATGTGGTGGGTACACACAACCTTTGGGGAAAAACTCATGACGTTCATGACACACACATCCACACAGAAAGAGGCACAAACAAAGAACACCCACCCACACAGAAGCACATACACACACACAGAGACAGAACCACACACACACAAACACAGAGAAAAAGGGACTGCCATAATATTTCTGGAATATTGTCAAGTGCGGCGTTAAACAACATACATACGGATTATCAATGTATAACTTTCCGCATTTAATTAGAATGCGTTTCCACTGCCTGTTTCTGTCAACATTATATTTCTCCAGGTATTCACCAATTGGCATACTGTTTCTCGTCATGGGCCAGATAATGTCCACAACTGACATGACGGAGACTGGACAAACACTGGCTATCTACATTGCAACTGAGTTGTCCGGATTGGCAATCCATTCACTGATGGTCGTTCCAGGCATGTATTTCATCCTGACAAGGAAGAACCCATTTGCCATATACCTCAAAGCAATACAAGCTCTGCTGACAGCCTTTGCGACAAGCTCCAGGTATATATTTTCACAGTTCCATTTATCTCTCTTTTCACTTTTCATAAAATTAGTAATTGAGTTACTTATACCAGTCAGATTTGGTTGTAGGGGCATGAATGACATAAAACCATATTCCCCGTTAACTATTCAGTTAACTATAATGTCGAATGCCATGTAATGATCAAATGAAACAAGACGATTTTAACTTTCATAGACGACAGAGAACGAATCTTCTTATTTTTATTTCCTATAAAGTTTTACTCCATTGAGACCCGTGAATATCCCCATTCACTGGTTCCCGGATCAATGTGCGCTTCGACAACTATTTACATGTAGAGACGGAGCCAAGCATAACGGTCGTTAAAGGCGACTATGCTTGTCGTAGGAGGCGACTAACGGGATCGGGTGGTCAGGCTCGCTGACTTGGTTGATACATGTCATCGTATCCCAATTGCGTGGATCGATGCTCATGATATCAATCACTGGATTGTCTTGTCCAGACTCTATTATTTACAGACCGCCGTCATATAGCTTGGATATTGCTCAGTGCGGTGTTAAACAACAAAGAAACCAATGATGACCCAGCTGAATACATTACATGTATTGACACATTTGTACACAAATTTATTCAGGCTTATTAGGGATTATATACTACTACTTTTCCCACACAATTTATTTAGTTAAATAGAGTGCGGCGTTAAACAACAAACCAACCAAAGCACATAACATATATCATACTTACATATAATGACGGTTAAACGTCATGCATGACTATTGTGTAATCCAATAGCTGTGTACATGCACAAGTGTACAGAGGTATCCATTAAAATTATAACATTGTGCTATGTAAAGAACATTATTAATTTATTTGTGTGGGAATTCGAAACATCATATTGGAATAAGAAAGCACAAAAAGCAAGGTCAAATGAAATGAAGAAGAAGCAATGTCTATATTACAATTACTATGAATAAAATTATATTGTTTTTAATTTTGGATGAAAAATTGTATTTAGTATAAGTACCCTTGAATATGTAGTGAAACTAATGAAAAGGGTTATTCTGTGTCTTGTAATATTTACAAAAAATTAAAATGCCAAGATATTATCTATATTTTATTGATTATGAATTAAACGTAATACTGATTGACAACAAACAGCCACCATTCATCCATATTTTGTTTGTACACCATGCACCAATTAACTCTTACAAATATAAAAATGGATTTAAGTGATTACCATTTCCTCTATTTCGGATATTATATGTTGTTGGTGACATCATTTGTCAGTGCATGTTTCTTTTACAATTTTCTCAAAACTATTCTTACAACCCTCAGGTAATCGAAATCCACAACATTTATTTTACAAAATACCTTCACATTTCGCGTACCGCATGGCCCAGGCGCTGTACTGAAGAGAACGCATATAGCCTGTTCGGCGACAATACAACGTAGATATGGGAAGGTATACAATGCAAAATATACTTCATTTCTAAAAGTGTGACATCAAGGGCAAGACATACCGATTGGAATGACCAATCAGTTGATCCAACCGCCTCGCTTCGAACGGTTATCAAGGGGTTTACTAATTACAATCTAATCCCTGTTCTATCACTTAATCACGGAACATATATATAAGGACATGGCAATAAATAGATAGATCATTGTTTAAGCAAAATAGATATGCTGTTCATACACGAGCGTGAAGGTTACCGATAGAGGTGAAACTTGTACTGGTTAACTGTCTATAGGAGTGACAGTAAGACGTACAGCTCGTATCGCGCTTAACACATGCTCTGTCAGTTAAAGGTTGGACCGTCGGGTTAGTGAAAGGAAGATAAATTAAAAAAGATCGCCAAATAGGCTCACTTCGATTTGACACAAATAATAAACATTTATACCTATATCTTCTTCAATCAATTTCCTCGAACAAAATCTGTATACATTATTCCAAAATGAAGAGTATAATAAACAGTAACGGTTTGTAATGGGCAGTCTGTTACGTTTCCGAAAAACTTGAAACGGGTAACTGACCTGAGTTTTGGACTCATTGTAATATTACGCTCATTGACCATATTGATTTTCTATTCTTACATGATAGAACTACAGTATTGATAATCCCAATGCCTAAACAGGGTTTCAAATGCAATGTAGCGAACAAATTAATGTATCAACGTCCAACGATTGACATCATGAGCATCGATCTACGCAATTCTGATGCAATGACATGCATCAACCAAGCGAGTCTGACCACCCGATCCCGTTAGTCGCCTTTTACGATAAGAATGGCTTGCTGAAGAACAGTTCTAACCTGAATCTTCACGGGTGACTCCCGATTGATTCGCTATTGTTTTTAAGGTTTACATTGAATTCATAATATAAAAAAACTGGTTTACTCTCTATGCAAGTGGCAACGGAGAGCAAACGCAAGTATATGGAAATAGTCTGCATTTACCAAAGCTAAACAACACTCATTCTCACGCATAAGGGAAATCACACCTATAAAAATTACTGAACATCTCTAACAGGAGATGGATATAGACAAACATATCCCACTTGTGGAAAAAAAATACTTGGCCCTATTTGAATTTTTAGCATAAGGACGAAGGAAATTTTCGATATTCATAAGAAATGTTTTTCTTTTGTGACTCCTTATGTTTGATGTTCTTCGCTTTATTTCTGACAGGTGTACTTATTTGGTGTAACTTTATTTCCCATGCATTAAATAGAAAAAGGTCTCGCAATATTATGCTTGTTACCCTCTCATATGTGTGTGTTATATCAATACATGTACACTTTGCTGATGTGGTTCTCCGACTCCTGGAGGCCATTTTGTATATAATATGGGGTCTTTTGCTTCGCGTGCAGCCCTAAGTTATTCTTGATTAACAGTGGTTAATGCCAGAAATATTGTAACCTCGGTTGACTCAAATATTAATAATCCAACGCACGTCATGTTGTCACATTGCAACCAAGAATGGTGAGCTCCGCCTGCTTTACATGACAGTCGGATCTATTTCCAGCGCTGCCACGCTGCCGGTGACGATGCAGTGCGTCGAGACGCGGATGAAGATGGATACACGAATATCCCGTTTCATCCTCCCAGTGGGCGCCACAGTCAACATGGATGGCACAGCGGTGTATGCTGCCATCGCCCCTGTGTTCATAGCACAGTACAATGGAATCAACCTATCATTTGGAGATGTCATAATTATAAGGTATGTTGGTGACCCTGCTGAGTGAGTGACTTGGATTTAACTCCGCTTTCAACAGCATTAAAGATATTCAATGGTGTGCTAGCCTACCTCGAGAGGGAAGCCCGAAGTGACACACGTCTCAGACCTTTAGAACTTTGGTAAAACCAACAAGCACGGTCAATAAATTGCATCATGTGGTCAATCTTGGTGACACGGTTAACGTAATATCAACCACTGAATTGTTTGACCCAGATTCGTGTTCTTACACGCCGCAGTGAAACTCCAGCAGGAAAAAACAAACACTCGACAATGCATGAGCCAGAAACTTATTATTGGGAAATTGGTTGAAGAAAGATCAGCTCTGAAAAAATAACTGCCAGAGATAGAACGGTTCCGGAACCAAAACCTAACCGCAGTCTACCGTAACATTGCATGTGGACCAATCTCGGGGCATGAACCATTATTGATCAAATATGTATTATTTAAAACACACACTGGTCGTCTGTATTGGTTGTTAGAACCGTTACAATACTCTGCTAACATGTTCTGTTAATTGTCATGCTACATCCAGTCCCTATTTTATCAACGCATTACCCTCACTCATTACCTATTTGTATTTCTGTAATCTTTCGTTATTTTAGAATATCCCCCTACCTTTTTGGAGAGTAGCTGTTCCATGGGGGCTATAAAGAAAAGCATTAAACCCTTACAAAAATGGTTTCTGGATGTAGGGTGTAATAAGTGTAAGGACGTGTGAAAGGCGACTATGCTTGTCGTTAGAGGCGACTAACGGGATTGGGTGGTCAGGCTCGCTGACTTGGTTGAAGCTTGTCATCGATTCTAATTGCGTGGATCGATGCTAATGATGTCAGTCACTGGATTGTCTGGTCCAGACTCTATTATTTTCAGACCGCCGTCCTATAGCTGGAATATTGCTGAGTGCAAATAAAGAACAAATAAACCAATGATGACCGAGCTGAATACATTACCATGTATTGACATATTGGTACATAACTTTATTCAGGCTTATTAGGGATTATATGCTATTCCCACACAATTTATATAGTTGGAAACCAACTGTACAGTTGCAGTGTGATTTGGTATGTAGCAAATATGTTTTACGCTCTTTACTTTTGAGTCTCTTTAGATTTCCTCCATACTTTTCAACGGGCTTGAACTGTTTAAGGGATGTAATATGATATTATTTTCTTTGTATGCATTGCCGGACGTGTTGATGGGCTTTAATGTAACTTGAGAAAAACTAGTTTAATGATTAATTACTATTGCGTCACGTTATAAACATTTTCCAGTTTAACAGCTGTTCTGAGCAGTATAGGATCTGCTGCTGTTCCTGGTGCTGCTTTTGTTATGCTGTTGCTTGTCCTAAAATCTACTGCTCTCCCGGATCGAGGCATCTCTTTCCTGGTCACTGTTGACTGGTTGATGTAAGTTATCCTCGTATGGTATCCTTAAGTTCCTCGGTTGGGGTCATTTGCATATAAATATGCAAATAAAAAGGTCAGGTAGATACCACTTTCAGTTCAATCCAACAAAGCAGTTACTATGAAATGTTTATTGAAACGTACTGTTACGTGTTTATTACGATTATTGCTGGTCTAAGATACCGAAAATAAATTTTTATTTGGGAATTATATTGCCTGTTGTCATTGTTTGACTGCAAAAAAAACTGACCTTATGTTCTAATACATGTATGTTACTACGCGCATTCCATAACAAATACATTGTTTAGGTACCAACTGTAAGCGATGACAAAAAATTTTTACAATATGAAATAATCTAAGAATGACATTGTATGATGACAATATTACCACGTTTCGGATGATAGATATCCTTCATTAGATATATACATTATTTTATTGAGCGAACCTTTGCACTTGCGTCATCAGACCCCTTTCTTCAAACCATTTGGGGTGAATCGATGGCGTGGGTCGTTGCTAGCCGTCAACAGCTGAGTCACCTCATTCTCTCTTTCTAGGGATCGTTTTCGCACCACCGTAAATGTGGCTAGTGATTGCCTGGTCGTAGGAGTTGTCTCCCATTACACGGAACTTCCTCCACGTGACCCGTCAGAGACCCAAAGTGAGCAACAACAGGAAGAGCAGGAGATGCTGGAGAATGACGTGGTGTGAAGCCAAAACAGCTCCTCTGTCTATTTTCAAATTTGTCTCATTAGGAACCATGACACGTTAATTACATCTTATTTTTTCAAACCCTGAAAGATATATTTGAAACAGATGGTTTCACCTGTGGATGGGGATTTCCTGTTTCTTGTTTCTTGCAACAAGTGGGTATTATTGTATTGTGTGTGTTATCACTTTATTCCTTATGATGAGTGCGGGAGTTTGGTTTAATGCCGCTTTTAAAAGTATTCCAGTTATATCACGTCGTGTCAGCTTAGTGTTTGAGGAAAGCCGGAGTGATGCAGGTCTCGAACGTTCACCACTTCGGTGAAACCCACGGGCACGGGTATGGTGCTGACAAACCTAGAAACATAACCGGGGCGAACCCCTGATTCGAACACATAATCATAGGTTTCTGGCGTGCCCAAGGGACGCAACTCTGCACAGCGAATCGCGGCGCCTTAGACGACTGGGCCACCCGTGCCCCCTTCTTATGATGAAACACAACGTTCATGTGATTAACATGGACAATGTTTTGAAGTACTTGTAGGGAGGAGCAATGACACAATAAAAGACGTTGGCAATCTTTCTAACCAACGAACCGTTAATGGCAATGCATTCCGGCATCCCAAAGGTCCATGGTCACATTGGAAGGACGAAGGCCAAATGATGCCATTCATTTGGAAGATTTGTTGCCTCTCTTTCAGGAACCATTGGGACTGCACAAAGTAAGAACAAGACTATACTTTGCATCACTGAAAGGAATTAGGCGACTCCAGCAACCTTTGCTGATGGATGGGTCTACATACAGTAAGAGCCCACAGTATCGACTAGATAGTTCTTTCTGTCACTTTGAAACGTTTGGTCAAACCAGAAATACTCCACTCAATCAGACAAAGGCTGCAATTTATTGAATTTGAAATTTGCAATCATGGGAATTGATGCCTTAAATTTAAGTAACATTCTCAGGCAAAAGTAAGTTTTCGAAAATGTCCAACAATATATCAAATTTCAGCAACCATCAACTATTTCCTTTTCCTATACGAACACAATTTCATCCAGGTTCTTCATTTGGAGAAGGGCGGTCGGGTAGCCTAGTGGTTAAAGCGTTCGCTCGTCACGCCGAAGACCCGACATGCGTACAATGTGTGAAGACCATTTCTGGTGTCGCCCCGCCGTGATATTGCTGGAATATTGCTAAAAGTTGCGTAAAATATACTCACTCACTCACTCATTTGGAGAAAAAAACATACAACATATGAAGTGACAAATATTAATTTTGCAAGAAATAACATATAGTAAGATGAAATTATCAGGAAGCTACACACCTGGAATTCACAAGATATAAAAACAATACATTCCAAGTATGCTTCACAAATACTGGTGTGCGGTTTCGTTAGTAAGTGATTACGGGGCACTTTTGATCTGGTACTAACTCTGCTAGTATTAAGCTGAATTTATTTGCTAGTTTTTTTCATACTCGGTTTTTCTAGTTATCCGTGGATAACCTACCTTTATTGTCTAGTTTTGGAGGAATTTTAGAATTTCCTTGCTCAGTCAAAGTGGCTGAGTGTTTACTCATTAGACTTGTTTGATATTCAGACGTTCTCGTCTATTTTATTGTCCAAGAGACTTATTTTAGGTATAGGCCTTCCGTGTGTATTTCCCGTAATTAACAAGGCCAAAGTTATTCACTCATGAGAATGTTGGTGTTAGTTGGTCGCAGTCGATTTAATTGGCTAACGATGCATCTTGTCGATATCAAAGTGTTGTTCTAGCTACTCGCAATTTATTACTGCAGTTCAGCCGCTTGTGTATTTCCTGATTATTTAATCAGCGATTATATTCAGTATAGATTTTTTTAGCTCGGCCATTGATACTATTAGCTAATAGTAATAAACCTTTGAACCTATCACCACGTTTTTATTATTACTTTATTGTTGTTCAGTGACACCCCTGATCATTGGAGCACAGCTCATTGACAATAAACAAGTAGTAACAGCAAACTGACTGGCTGTTGTGAGTATTTATATTTCAATATCATTTATCTATTTTGTATGGTATAATTGCGATTATACCATTTTCATAATCATACGAAATGTCTGCTAAAGGCGCGAGAGAGAGAGAGAGAGAGAGAGAGAGAGAGAGAGAGAGAGAGAGAGAGAGAGAGAGAGAGAGAGAGAGAACGTATCCATTGCTAGTAATTAATTGTAGACTTACAAGCCTAAGGCAAAACAACCAAAGTGAGACTAAAGTTGCGGTTGCATCATAGAACAAAACGGAAGTATTTAATTCCCTATTGTTTGATGTGATTCTGGCCAAGATTGTGTTGATACATTTGCTAAAAATAGCCTTTCCAAATATAAAAAAAGGTTGTTAAAAAATGACCAATGTCAGACTTATGTTATTTTGGCAAGAAGTGGTTTCACTATTCTAGTTGGCACCCAACATTAACTTCTTCAATAGGAATGCATAAAAGTCTTATCAACACCTTGATTCCCGAGGGGAGGTACTACTTCCCAAGAGTCAAATTCGTCAAACAAAGATTATGAAATAATGTTTTAACAAAAAATATATTTGTTTAAGTCGTGAAAAACATCTAAAGTTATTTCCCTGACGTAGGTTGTTTCGGCAGGCACTCTGAATATTTATTTATGATATTTACGTGTTTACATAATCTTCTATGTGCACGTGATGCACGTGCATTTCATTTCATAAACTATTGAATAACTTTCTCTTGACAGATATCAAATGAACAGTCTCCCTGTGGAAGTTTTGGTTGTAATTTTCCAGTATTTGTCACCTTGCCCTCTTGCGAGACATACAGCTGCTGTCTGAAAGCACTGATTCAACATGATTCAGAGCAGACATTTCTGGTCAAAACATATATCTTCTCCTATGCCCAACAGTTACGCAACATTACAACAACACTCTTAAGAATGGAACACGCTGTGCGTTGCACGGCCGAGATGAACCTGATATATTCATTAGCTACATACAGCAGCTTACGTTAGTATTATAGTGGCTCTTCAGCCCAGAACAACATCACATCGTACGACTGCACATACAGCAGCTTACGTTAGTATTATAATGGCTCTTCAGCCAAGAGCAACATCACATCGTACGACTGCACATACAGCAGCTTACGTTAGTATTATAATGGCTCTTCAGCCCAGAGCAACATCACATCGTACGACTGCACATACAGCAGCTTACGTTAGTATTATAATGGCTCTTCAGCCAAGAGCAACATCACATCGTACGACTGCACATACAGCAGCTTACGTTAGTATTATAATGGCTCTTCAGCCCAGAGCAACATCACATCGTACGACTGCACATACAGCAGCTTACGTTAGTATTATAATGGCTCTTCAGACCAAAGCAACATCACATCGTCGTTTTACTACGCATACAGCAACCTACGTTAGTATTATAATGGCTCTTCAGCCAAGAGCAACATCACATCGTACGACTGCACATACAGCAGCTTACGTTAGTATTATAATGGCTCTTCAGCCCAGAGCA